ATTCCCTTCTCTATTAGGTTGTTAATTATATATTCTTTTACTACTATTTTAAGGGTTATCACGTAAACAACATCCTTGACTTACAATTGACTAGCACTTTTCTATTCTCCAGAAAATAAAAGGGCTTCAATCCTATTTACCTCTCTTATTCTTTTGTACTGTTCCTTGTTGTATATTTCAATCTTACATGTACTTTAATCCCATGAGACATTTGTAGAATCAGTAGTTCATTTAGATTTACTCATATATTTACCTTATCCATTGATCTTCATTCCCTTCTACGTTTCCATGCTTCTATCTGTGAGCTTATGCCTCTTTCTGAGGAACTCCTGTTAGTATTTTTGGGGTGTGTCTGCTGACAATAAATTCAGTCTTTACTTGTCTGGAAATGATTTTATTTCATCTTTACCTCTGAGGAAAATCTAGATATAAAATTCTACTTTGGCATTATTTTTCTTCAACAGTTTAAAGACATATTTCATTGTCTTCTGGATTTCATCATTTCAGTTGAGGAGTCAGTCGTTAGTCCTGTTCTTTCCTTGAAGGTAATATGTCTTTTTTCTCAGGCTGCTTTTAAATTTCCTTTTTGTCTTTGGTTTTCAGAAGTATTACTGACACATCTCTGTTTTTCTTTATCCTGCTTGGTGTTTATAGTACTTTTTTAGTCTATGGCTTGGTGTATTTCAGTGGTTTTGGAAAATTCTCTGAATCTCTTGGAATATTGCTTCTTCCATTATTTTTCTGGGATTCCAATGGCAGGTGTATTAGACCTTTCCATTATGTATCATATATCTTTGGTGACTATTTCCTTTAGTTTTCATCTTTTTTTCTCTCCCTGTTTTAGGCAGGATATTTCTACTCACCTATCTTCTAGATCACTAAATCTCTCTTCAGCTCTATCTAAGTCACTGTTAAATCCACCTACTTACACTTAATATCACTGATTCTATTTCAGTTCTAGAATTTCTATTTGATTTTTTATATATATAAATAGAGTCCAGTTCTCTTAAAACTCTCCATCTTGTCATTTCCATTCTTGAACCTATTAATCACTGATATTAAAGTCTATCAGATAATTACAGTATCTGTATCACCTGTGGGCCTGTTCTGAGTGTCGTTTTCATCTCTTGATCCTGCCGCTTCATATGCCTGGCATTTCTTTAACTGAATGATGGATGTTTTATATATATATTTAAAACTATAAAGGATCTAGATGTTGTTACATGATTTTCTGATTTTCTTTAGTTTGTGGCAGGCAACTAGATCAGGAAGAGATTATCTTAATCCAGTCAGGGGTTGAGCTGATTCAAGGCTTCGTCTCATTCTTTATAAACTTGGTCTATTCTGGTCAGCTAATTTGAGATTGGGTTTCAGTCTTTATAAAGTTGACCTGTTTTTAGTAAGCCAGTTCTTCTAGAATACAGTCTTTCAGGGCTCTTAAATGAAGTAAGAGGGTATTTATAAGCATGAGGTATTTCCAGGATCTCTCCATCTTTGTAAGCCCTTACCTGTCATTTTTATCTCCTCAGCATCATAAGACGATTTGTAGTTCTACTCAGCCTTTCAACTTCTCAGCCTGTGCTGCTTAAGAATCAACTTTTTTTTTTTTTTTTTTTTTGGATAGGGGACCTTAGAGACCAGCCAGTAACATATGAGGAATTAAATTTGAAATGGAACTGATCTTTACAGATTTCATCTTCAGTCACTTTCTAAAATACACACCAGAAGCCTAGAACCAGGATGGAAAGATCATCCAAAAAAATTAAAAAATTAATACTATAAATCTGAAGGAAAGAAAATAAATGGCTGAGAAAGTGTTGGAGGAGGCAGTGGCAATCACTTTGGGGGATTCAAAGATGATTGAGAGCAGGATTCTATCCAATGAGCATCCCTCCTCGCCCAAGGCAGAAGAAATTCAAAAACATTATCATAATCTAAAGGGTAAGGAAAACCTGAAAAAGTGGAGACTGGGAAGGCAAGCAGGAGGATGGTTACTTCTGGCCAGACTCAGCAGAGCAGACTCCATGGAGGCCACAGCATCTGTTAGAGCCAGACCCTGAAAGATAGGAAGGTTTTGGGGTAGCTGATCACTGGTATGGGGGGTAGAGTGTGGCTCAGTCAGAGAACAACTCAGGAGGGAGGTGCAGATGCCTGAAACCAAGTTATTTCCTGCATCCCCAAACCTACCTTCACTAATGTATACAGTTTGGAAAATACACTAGGACACAAAGTCCCAAAATGATCTTCCCTCTATTTACTGCCAGGGACCTCTGCTTATGGAGTAATATAGTTATTGAAAGAGGCAGCCTGCATAGGGGCAAGAAACAGCTTGTGATCCGTGTGTCAGGGAATAGTAGGACAAAGACAGGCTGAATTCAGGTTGTGGTGAGCCATGAATATCAAATTAAGAACATCAAATTACTTTGGCTTTCGGCCACAGGATCCAAAGCAAAACTGTTCTAACCAAACCATCTTTCTTCTCTCAACTCAGCTCAACACAGTTCTCTCTGGGCACCATTCACCCAGGCCACAAAAGATGGGGAGTTGGCAGGAGCAGGCAAAGCAGATGGTAAGGAAAATTTAGAACACAAAGTCCTGCAATGGGGTGCACCAGCAAATTCTTCCACATAACACTATGGTAAAGAAGACACTTTAAAAAACTGCACTGGATGGGATTGTCTGTGAGGCAAGATTGCAGATAATGAGAGACATCAACTAGCATGTTTTATTACTCATAAAATGCAGCCCTTGCTGGCTTGGGGGTCACAGCCCAGGCATATCAGAATGCCTCTACCCACCCCTTCTAGCACCCCCAGAGTTTCACTGTGACCAGGCAAAGTGAAACTTTTGATTCCCGTAACAGAGGACCTGCATCCAGGTTCCCAGCACTGAGGCACCTGGATGGTCCCCTTCTGCCCTCCACCCCAGCCCCAGGTCCTCTCGGTGGAGTATTCTGAGGGTGCTAAAACTACTTCTCCCCAAATACGTTCACCCCTCAATCATCACAATAGCACACAAGATCCTAATTGCCAGTTTAACTGTTTTTCTAGATTATAAGTAATTGGCAGATATGAACTATCTAATACCTCCCTGGATATTTAGTCCATACCTGACACTCACAATACATTGGCTTCATTTTTCAATTTGCTTGAAAGCCTTGGAACTTGACCCCAGATCTGCTGATCATGAGGACTCACTATGGATGGACCAAATCCTGGTTACAAAGGCCAAAACTTGGGCCCGGCATCCCAGGCCCTTCATAAACTGGCCTCTACTCATCTCACACTCCCCGCTCTCCAAGCCTCTAACCCACTCTCCCCTTCCCCATGCACCTAAAGCCACCTCTGCTCTCCAGACTTGGCTAAATCCTACCTCCTTCTTGAGGTCACCCCGGACGACATCAGTCTGACTCCCACAGGGGAAGGGACCCAGTCAGGGAATCCCAACCCTGTGATGATACAAGAAAGACAAGCAGCCTCAGAACAGCTCCCTTTCTCTGAGTGGGCCAAGCGCTGTGCTAAATGCTTTCCAGGTGCAATTCCATTTAAGGCTTGCAACCATCCTCTAAGGAAGGTGTTATTGTTCCCATGTTGTAGATGCACAAATTGAAGCACAGAGAGATGGGAAGCATGTCTGTGGGATACAAGGCCTGTGCTTTAGACCATTATGCTGGACTAAACAGAAGGCCAAAGGCGCACTCACAAGGGGCACCTACATGGCCTCGAGGGCAGTGGGGGGGTGGGGGCGGCGGCAGGTGGCAGCACCCAGCAGCCACATCTGACACTTAACAGGCAGCAATAAGTGTTCGTGGAATGAATGAGGGAGTTTGTGCCAGAGCCGTCTGTTTAAGAAGATGAGGATGACCCAGCCAGGAGAAGGGGAAGGGGGCGGGATACCGAGGGAACCCAAAGCAAGGGCAGGCAAGCAGGAAGCAGCGAGGAAGGTGAGGAACTAAGGCAGTCGGACTACCGAAGCATAAAACATGAGATGGAAAATGGAAAGGGACAAGACTGGACAGAGGGGACCCTGCCAGGTCACTGGAGGCAGCACCCAGGCCTCCAGGTGTTGGTGATGAGCCGTAACAAAAGGGGGTGGCCGGCTGGACCCCGCAGTTCCAACTCTACGTGCCCAACACCAAACCTCCCAACTGCCTCGTGAAACTTGCCCTTCCTTTCAGCTCCACAGGCTCCAGGGCCGCCCCAGCTTCCTCTGGTGCCTCTGCTCCCGTCTTGCCCCTGCATCCATCCCCCACCCAGCTGCAAGGGGGCCAACCTGGGGTTCAGCAGTGAAGAAAACAGACACAGTATCTGCCCTCCTGGAGATTCCCCAAGGATGTCCCCCTTCCCGTCACCCTCTCAAGAGGAAGCAGTGTGTCCCCTTGACCATTCTCCTGGCCCAGTACACCCTGGGACTGTACTGGAAGGTGGGCAGTTTCCGGTCACCCGCTGCTCTTTCATTTTCAAGGGTGGAGCCACCCAGCTCCACCATCCCTTTTCATACCTGACCTCGAGGCCCTGGCACCCTCCGCCCCAATTTCTGCCACCCTCTTGGAAGGCCCTGCCCCTCCCCCCGACCTCAACAGCCTAGCACCCGGTTCCTCAGCAAGAAAGAAGTGGAGGAGACACACACATACTGGGTCCTGGTTACCAACCACACAAACTCACTCACTTCCTGGGCTCCCAGCTGGCCCCCGAAGAGGTGCTGGCTACTCCCCACCTTCTCACTCCTTGCGCCTGGCCCAGGGACTGACCGTAACTGTTTGATTTAAACTGAGGGGAAAGCAACGGTTCTATATACTCCAGAAGTGCAATACTTATTGAAGATCAGCAGTAGTTCCATTCTCAGAAAGCCCTGAGCCAGGAGAGAAAAGACAAATGACTTCAGCCTCATCATCCAGCAGCTGTGGAGGCTGAGCTGAGAAGACCTGGTCCCTCCGTCCTCTCGGGCCTCGCCAGCCACCCCACACACCCCCAGGGAGGGGAGCGCCCATTCCTGTTCACCTGAAAGCCTTCCCACAGTCCACACGTAGGAGCACCGGGCTCAGCGAAACCCACAGTAGCAGGGGTGGGTTCCAGCCTCATCCTGCAGAGATGACGGAGTCTCACCACTCCCCGCTGGACACCTGGAGAGCCACACACCCAGTGTCACCAAAAGGAACAATGACACTTGCTGGAAACGCTTCTGTGTTTTTAGGAAGAATACCTGTGGGTAAGAGGGCCTGCTGGATCTCCCTGCGAAGCGATGCCGAAAACACGTAAGGAAACCTAGAGAAGAGCTGGCAGGGAGGAACGCTGGGGTGAGGCCCACGTTTCTTATTTTACAGACCTGCACCGATCACCTTCTAACACCTGGTTAACTTGCTATTCTGCTTTTTTTATTATCTCTCCCTGCATCTCTCCCACTAGTATAGAAACTCCGAGAAGATTAGGATTCATGCCTGTCTTGTCCACTGTCGTTTCTCCAGTGTTTAAAACGGAGCCTGGCACATTTTTTGTTCAAGAAAAATGTGGTGACTGAAGGGATACATGAGTAACATGGTGATGACCGGGGTTCACGAGCACTGTGCTGTGAGGACATCACAAGGCTCCTCAACACACCGCCAGTTAGCATCGATCCCAGGAGAAGCAGTAGCCTCGCCTAAAACTGTGCGTGAAGCCCGCGCCCTAAAAAGGCTGGTGCTGCAGCAGGCGGGGCGCAGGTGGGCAGTGCAGTTTGCCGTCGGGGTTCAGCCCTCAATCCACTGATTGGAAAGTGATTGGAAATTATTAAAACACTAATGACACCTAAGGCCCTTCCATCAACAATGACTGATCCACGTGACCCAAATACACTGTGGAATATGCACAGACAGCTCCATAAGGTCAAAGAGCGGAGCCTCTCCTGCATCAGACGGATTTTTAGCCCCAGTGACCCTGGCAGTAGAATTAGAGCAATCCCATTGTTGCCCGAGAACAACTTAAACGCGGCAGAGCCCAACCTTCTCCCACCCGCTCGAGAAGACAGAAGCAAAGCAGGGTCCGGGTGTGCGGTGGGCAAAACCTCTCCTCGACCCTCACCGATTCCCCCTGCTTTGGCAAACTCTAGTCACCAGAAAAACACTGCCCAGAATAATGAAATTTAAACTGTTTAGACTTCGCAGAATTGGGTACATTGATTTAATGGAGCTGGCATGTTCCGCTTCAGGGACCGGGCAGGCCTAGGGGCTTTGAAATGAAATGAAAGCAACGGCTCTCCAAGAAAGGGTTAGAGGAGAAAAGAAGCTTACAGACCCCAGAGCCCGAGACACAAAGAACCTCCCCTCCCTTCCCGCTCCTCGGCCCAGAGGATTAGCTCTCATCTCACTCCTGTCTCACCAGCATCTGGCATGTACAGCCACGGCAGGCAGGGAGCTACCACTTCCTGGCCTGGCAGGTCACAGCCGCTGGGGGCAGCTCACCAAGGAGAAGACAGGGGACACACACACCAAATCAGGACACCAAAATCATGCTTCCAAAAATCACAGTGATGACAGAAGTGACAGGGACTTTGCCTGGCTGAGCACTGCTGGTGTTCGCAGAGAGAGCACAGAGCAGGGGGGCCTCCCCACCGGCAGGCGCAGGGCAGGAACTAATGAGGTGCACGTGTGGGCACCCGCAGGTTTTGGGTTTTCATCTCAGTGCCCCACCTCCGCACTGCTGCCATGAGGCCAGGCCTCTAACCGAAAGGCTGTTCACAAACTCTACTGTTACGAGCAAAGTTCAGAATCTCGGGATGTGCCAGAGGCCCCCGGGTCCACCTTAAGCCCTACATCCCCTCCGAAGAAGCCCCCCACTTTCATCTGTAAGGGAAGCCGGTGAAAGTTTCTGCACGCTGGGTGAATGAGGGAACCAAGAGGCTCGGGGTTAGGAAGATGCGTTAGAGGGGAAAGACTTGGGTCATGAGAGGCGGAATCTGGAATACAAAGCTCTTGGGTATCCAAGGAAGTGGGCAGAGACCAGGAAAAGCCCAGGAAGGAGGGGGAGAGAGAGGGGGGCTGACTTCTCAGGGACGCAGCTAAGAGGCACTGTCCCAAACATCCTGGCACAACCAAAGGGCAAATGAAACTCACCTAAATAAAGGCCAATCACAATTGCCTGCATAAGCACAGTCCCCAACTTACACCAGGGTGGCCTTCACAAGTCCACTATGGCTTGGCTGTCTGGAGCTCTGAACGCATTTTCCATAGGAATGAAGTGATACCTATGGTTAGGATATCAGGCCAGCTTGTCACCATCATGGCCTGTGAGTTCTGGGCAACATGGCCCATGCTTTATTCTTCCTTGATTTCCAAGTGCACCACAGAGAACCTGACAAAGGACAACTCACATCCGTGCAGGGTGAGTGAAGGACTCCTGCACAGGTCAGGCACGATTTCATATTGAACTTCCTTTTCTCAAAGGATGAACATGGTGACATCTTCAATTTCTAAAGGTACTTGGAGAATTGCACAGAACTCCCCTCTTTAGGTCCTTGACCTAATTTACGTACTCTAATACCCTCAGGACAGTAGGTATTCCCAGGTAACCCTGCAGAATGGAAAGGGAGCTGAAAGGGGGGCTCTGTGTATTTCAGGCAGGCCCCCAGGCAGGGAGTTTCATCCAGCCAAGCACAAATGGGATGAGTAGGAAGCCCAGATGAAGGATGTGGTCCTCCACTGAGAGCCACCTTGAGGCCTTGGCAACCTTCTGGACATGGAGCTTTCCCTTAGTAAAGAGGTCAAAGATATTCGGGAACTGGACTTTTTATATTATAGCCTCAGAACTTAAATATGTCACTCCTCCCATTGTTCCTGCCGCCTCCCTCACTTCAGATCTGGTCTCTGACTTGGCAGAAGAAGAGAACCACATCCTTAGCCCTCTGTGCCCCTCGATTTCTGCTTACTTCATCCCTATGCTCCACCATCCAAGTGCAGTTTTCATATGCTAACATTCTCCAAGGCTGCTCTTCATTTATTTACGGTATTTTGCCAACTGGTAGAACTTCTGGTGATTTGTGCTGCAGGGGTCATCGTCCCTTTGTAAAGCTGCCGGATGAGAGTGTGGAGCAAGTGCTGGGTGACATCAGGGCGATGAGGCTGAGGGGGGACACTGGGATTCCTCCACAACACAGCCTCGAAGGCTCGAGAATAAAGAACAGTCAAATAACTACAAACAATGACTTTTCAATGAATGGTCCTTTCTGCGGGCAGTGTTTTCAAAAGTAATTATACTCTGAAGTCCAAAGACTCAAATAACAAATTCTTCTGACAAAGGGTAATTTGCCCGATAAGTAAAAACCTCCTGACAGTCCTGCTAAGGAGAGGGGCAGGTAATCCTCTGCCAAAAAGCCTTCCCACTTCTAGGAATTTATTCTAGCAAAATGAAAACTTATGTTCCATAAAATCTCTACACAAATGTGTAGAGCAGGAAAGGGGGTGTGGCGTAGTAGCAAAGAGATCAGCCTCCAGATCAAACGTCTACAGACGCTTTATATGTAAGCACTGAAAACTGGAAACAACACAAATGCCCTTCAACAAGTGAATGGGTAAACAGAATGGTACATCCATTCAATGGAATACCACTCCTCATTAAAAAGGAATGAACCAGGGATGCACCCTTAGGTGGATCTCAGGGGCATTACGCAGAGTGAAAGAAGCAAGTCTCTAAAGGTTACATACTAAGTGGTTCTATTTATATGGATGGCATTCTGGGAAAAAGCAAAGCTATAAGGAGAGAGAACAGATTCGTGGTTGCCAGGGATGGGGGTGAGGGGATGACTAACTACAAAGGGGAAGCCCTAGAGAATTCTTCTGGTTGCTGGAATTGTTCTGTATCCTGGGGTAGTTACAAGAATCTAGGCATGTAGTGGTACATAATCTACAAAAATATCGAATCACAATATTGTACTCCTGAAGCTATTATAATAAGTCAATTATACTTCAATTTTTTAAAAGCCTAAACATATGTTAAAACTCAAGGGATTGAACACCAAAAAACAAAAGTGAATTTTACTGTATATAGATTTATTTTTTATTAACTTTTTTTTTTGGCTGTACCGCGTGGCATGGGGGACCTTAGTTCCCTGACCAGGGATCAAACCCGCACCTGCTGCACAGAGTCTTAACCACTGGACCACCAGGCAAGTCCCTAGATTTCTTTTTTAAAAGTTCACAAATTCTTTGACACTCTTCCCAGGAAACAATGGTGTCTAATTCCCCTGCCCTTGAATGTGGGCCAGGCTTGGCGACTCCCTTCTAAGGAGTACAATACAAGGAGAGCGATGGTTTAAAAAAGTGATACGACATCCCCCGGCCCTGGCCCTCACTCTTTGGAGCCCTGAGCAGCCACATAAGAAGTCTAGCTACCCAGAAGCCACCATGCTAGAGAGTCCTGATGTGAGACCACAGAGACATAGAGAGAGATGCCCAAGGAGCTCCCAGTTATTTGCAACTTCCCAGCCCGGACACCAGACTTGTGACTGAAGAGCTCCTGAGTCCATCATCTGGCTGCAAACTCAAAAGAGACTCTGAGCCAGAACTGCTCAGAGCTGCTCCCAAATTCCTGGCCCAAGGAAACTGTGAGCGATAATAAAAATGTTTTAAGCAACTAGGCTTTAGAGTGACTTGTTCACAGCCATGGATAACTAATATAGGCACATTTTTTGAGCAACTGCCATGCGACAGACACTTTCTCATATATTATCTTGTCTATTTTTCATTCATTTCATCATTTACCAAGCACTTTCTATATGCTAAGGGCTATCTATGGAATGGGGAGAGAAGTGCTGGAATCAGACTGTGAGGGCTGAGAGATGGGGTCAAAGCCAGGGGGTGATTCTTGGTTTGGGCAGCTGGCTGGATGGTGAAGTTCCACACTGAGGCAGGACGGGTCTGTGGGATGATAACACAATGCCTTCCATCTAGACACAGTGCACCTTCAACATCTGCGGGACCCCCAAGAGGAGCTGTCCAGGGGGCAGCTGGGTAGTTGGCCTCAGGACCAGAGAGAGCGCTGGGCCCCTGATGCCAACCAGGGGGTCGTCGGAAAGCCCTGGAAGCCGCCCAGGAAAGGAGCTCCACTGCAAGAAGAAGGCCTGGTCCTGGAACAGAGCCAACATGCAAAGAGCAGGAGGGAGCAGAAAGTTAGAGGAACAGAGGGAAGGTGGATCTCTCACCATCAAACTTAGAACAGCGAGCATTCCTCGGAGGAGATGACCAGAAACGGCAAGTGTTGCTAAGAGATTAAATAAGACAAAGACTGGAAGGTGTCCACGCCGTGAATGACAAGTGCCTCAGTGAGAGCAGTATCGCTGCGCTGGGAGGGAGGGTGCCGGATAGAGCAGGAGGGAAAGTGAGGCAGACGGTAGGGCTCAGACAAGGTCTAAGACTCAGGTTGTGCAGAGGGGTGAACGTGGAAGAAAGATAGATGCAGGGAGGAGGGGATTTCTGGATAAAGGAGGCATTAGCCTATCTGAAGGCTAAACGAGGGATCCCAGAGGGAAGCAGTGGTTGAAGGTCCAGCGGAAAGGGGCCTGGCTGGTCCAGGAGAGGGGACACAGCTCCCGTTAGGAAGGAGGGCGGGCACATGGGGGGCAGATGGACAGGCAGGTGGGGACAGGAGCTGCGTCTGAAGGTTCTGCTTTGTCTCTGCAGTGGCGGGCAAGGCAGGGAGAGGGAGGCCAGGGAAACAGGAGCACGGCCTGCCGGTGCCCATCGGGCAGCGGGACTGGAGGCCACGAAAGCCAAGTGATGCCAACATGCAAGAGTAGGATCCTTTTTTTTTTTTTGGCGGTACGCGGGCCTCTCACTGCTGTGGCCTCTCCCGCTGCGGAGCACAGGCTCCGGACGCGCAGGCTCAGCAGCCATGGCTCACGGGCCCAGTCGCTCCGCGGCATGTGGGATCTTCCCGGACCGGGGCACGAACCCGTGTCCCCTGCATCGGCAGGCGGACTCTCAACCACTGCGCCACCAGGGAAGCCCAAGAGTAGGATCCTTTTTTTCGTTTTGTCCATGACAGCCCCATAAGGGAGATGCTGTGTTCAAAGATTTGAGGAGAGGGCGTGCGGAGCGCGCGGGCTGGGCCGGAGCTGGGGCCCACCCCATTTCACCCACCCTTGGTTTCACTCATTTTGGTTCCTGTGTTGGCCCTAACAGAGTCTGACACTGAGCAGACACCCCATGAAAGAGAGGAAGGAGGGAGAAAGGGTCACGTCTTAAACCCTCATGGGCTAACACCTCAGCCCACCAGGAATCAGCAGCAAGTGGGGCCCTGGGCTTCGGGACAGCCTGCGCCCTGGGCCCAGGCCAAGCCCCTCCCGGGCGGCTTGTTTCTGATGCTTTTCCTCCTCCCACGCATCGGTCATAGATGGCTTTGCAGTTACTGCCTGTCCATCCCTCTCCTCTCTTCTTTGCCCTGGTTTTCCTTCCCTCAATTTTTCTCTGTAATCATTTTCTTCCCAAATTTGTTATTTATCTCCTTTTCCCTTCCTTCTCCTTTGTTTCCACTACATGGAATGGAAGTAACTTCTGAAACAGTTTTGCGCTCACTGTTTGTACCAGCCCAGCCCCGTGGCCCACAGCTGTAGGTCACCACCTTCCGGCCAGCCACTCTCACTCGCCCAGAGCCGTCGTACCTGATCCCAACGCCCATCCCATCTGCTTCTCACCTGCATGGAACACCCTTCCCCTTTCCTTTCAACCACTCACACCCCACCCACTCTCTCCAGGAGGCTTTCTGGACTGTGCAGTCCATGTGGATTTCTTCCACTTCTGACATTTCTATAGCCCAGGCTGCTTGCATCACACTTAGACGTGAGTCATATGCTGCCTTCAGAGGTTACTTCACTTTTTGTTATGTTTCTGACTTATTTCCCCAACCAATCATGACAATAAAAGGGTTAATGATCATGTCCTGGGATCAGTGGCATTGATAGAAATAAACCTTCCCATTTAGCCAAGCCTGCTCCCTTGTAAAAAATAATCACCAGGTGGTTACATGTGACGTCTATGAACTCAGCTGAAATTTCCCCGATTGTGCTCGTCTATCAATACAAACTTCCCTGGGTGCCAGCATATGT